GAGAAAATGATCGGTGAATTATCGAATATCGTCCATGTTGGAATAAATCGATAAATTGACAATTTCTTTTCATTCATTATCGAGTTCATTTGATTTAGATTATTCCTCAAAGTTTAGGTTAGATATTTAGTTCTTCTAGGAATATTATAATTTACTTTACTTCCTACTTTTTATATAATTATAGGTTAGAATTGAGTTAATATTTTATTTAACCGTATTCAAAAGTATCTTACCGTAAATATTAACTTAGTCATCAATTGACAGTTAGTTGTTTGGTAAGATAATGATCGAAAATAAACTACGCGTTTTTTCCCTCCACGATTATTTGATCACTTTTATGATGATTGAAAGTTATTGGAAAAATTAGAGAAAATGATCGATGAGTTATCGAATAGTCGATATTGAAACAAATTGATAGATGATAATTTAAATTCTTGACAATTTTTCCAAACGTGCGATAAATTTAACGAGACAATAATTTAATGAAATAAAAAGGTTATGAATAATAAAAGATTATTTTCAACGAATGAATGTATTTACCATGACGATGACTGTTACATTTTGAACTAAATTCAGACACAATTATCTCATAACACTTCTGTTGACATTATTTAAATAAGATTATCCCTTACTGCCAGATTGATTTACATTTAAATAACAAGAGTGTACACGTTACTACTTAGAATTTTATTATTGAGCTGATAAAATACGATTTATTCCCATAAAAAAAAAAAACATGAAGAAAATAATAATTATTATTAATTTATTATATTTAAATAGGAAATAATTAATTAATTTATGATAAGAAAAAAAATGTATTAATAACAAAATTATATTCCATTGGTTAGGTGACGTTGAAAACGTCATTCGTCTCGTTAATCTTCAAAACGTGATCTATCTCATTATCTATATTTGCTGAACCGACGAAAAGGGGTGTATAATAATCAATATTTTGATACAATATCACCAGGACAAAATCCTTTAATCCAATCCTCATTCTATCTGATTATTTTCTATTTTCAAATTATATCAAAACTCTAATAAAACTCGTGAAACAAAAGTAATTCCCCTTTAAAAATTTAGTTTGAAATTATAACGCGTGAATTAATTTCATGGAATATTATATATAAAAAAAAAAAAAACACCCTTATAGAATTATAACTTGTCTCTAAATTAAATTGTTACGTCATAATTTGTTTCTTGTGCCGAACAAAACCATACTTTGGAAGCATGAAAATCTTTTACGGGTCATAGATTCGTTTCGCACGGTGGCAGTATATTCACTTTAGTCTTACAAACACACAAGTGTATTTATATGAATACACATATATACTACACACATATACAGATAAATGGACATTGTACACGTGCCTTGGTTTCAAAGTTGAATCGATAAACGAAAGAAGAATAAGGGCATCGTGTTTTTTATCCCCCACATTTGTGACAATAAACGAGATTATTCAAAAGTTCCGAAATTTCAAAACTATTTTTTTTTTTTAATTTTTTATTTGTTTATAACATCCATTGTCAATAAAAAAAAATTAATTAAATATTTTTAGATAACTTTTGTGAACCAGAATATTTTTCTTTTCAACTTTTTGTGTACTCTTGTTCGTCTCAATTCAATTTCATCATTTTTATTCATTCTTTTTTTTTTAACTGCGAATAAAAATAATTGAATTTAGTTTAAAACGTGGTCAATACATTGCAAAACGTATCGTTAAAGTATCGATTAGTTATATTCGTTGCATCACAAGAGACAAAAGACGTTTCTGACGATTCGGGGTAGAAAGGGTGAGGGGAGTGGAGGTTGAGGGGTCGTTCTCGGGTATCTTCGAACCCTTATTCTTCCAAAACAAAATCTTACCCTACATTCCACTCTCTCATAATTATTTTCGATTAAATACTCTAATATTCGAATTTACGAAAATATTATTAAGCTAATCAAAAATAATTACGTAATAATTATAATCAATTTAATGTCACAATTGTTACTTGTATTTATTCTTTGTTATATTGCATACTTGTACTTTGATATTGAATATGAAATAATTCAGTGTGGGTGTACATTTGATTGATTAGCAACTGCGCGGAATTTTGTGCTCAGTTGTAGAATAATAAATGATTTATTTCAAATGATCATTTTGTTTCAATTAGATTTATAAAAAATTGAAATTTATAAATGTTACAATACAACGAACTTACGATTAGTATTTCTCGAAAGAATCTCATGAAATTCTAGTTTTAGTATCATCCAATTATACATGTGTTATGTATAGATACGAGAAAATAACGAAATCTGAATGAACGTGAGTTTATAAATGAAAAATGTCGTCGAACTCAACATGAATCCTATTTTTTGTTTGTTTCATATATTAATTGGATCAAACATTTATTAAAACTAGAATCAATTTTGACGAAAGTTATATAAAAATGAGGCCAGTAAAACAAGGGGAATATAAAAGAAAAAAACGAAAAAAAAAAAGAAATTTTGACTTAGTTTTATATTTAGAACGATCGAAGAATGTCTGTTCTGCGTGATGTAACGTTGAAGAAGAAGATGAAGAGAAAAATAAAATAAATATAAATTTTGACGATGAAACGTTTGAAGAAAAGCTTTGAAAAAAAAAAAAAACGGAACACGTTTCAAAGTAAAACGATCATCACCAATTCGATGACGACAGTTGCTATGTCGATTTATATCCCATGATACTTTAAAAACAACGTTAATCAATGATCATAAAATTAATTGTAAATCTAAAATTGAGTTAATTACAAACTAAGATAACTTAATTCTCATCAACTTCTGTTTTCTAGCAAATACGTTTTATAAAAACACAAAATTTTCTTTCGTAACATATAATTGAAAAAAAAAAGGTGGTAAATCTTTCAGGTAGTTGATACGATTAAGCATGCTGCATATGTGACAGATATACACATACAAACACACACACATACACGGTGCATGCCTAAAACGTCAGCGGTTTGCTGAGAAGGTTTCGATCAATCCCACAGACTCGTGTTCCAGAACGTTTGATGGTTCCTAAAAAACTAGTTTACTAAATCGAGATAAAAAAAATCTATAAAATGTTTCGTAACTGATACACACACACCTAGCTAAAAACACCATAGATGCAGAAAGAACCACATAAGTAGAGATAATACTATTGATACTTACGAGTTGCGCCTCATCAGCCACATCGATAGGGTGTACATTTTTTTCGCGTCATCACGGAAGAAACTTTCCTCCTCCTCCTCCTCCTCCTTCTCCTTCTCCTCCCTTTTCCAACCTCTTCCACGAAATATATAATCGAAGTTTAAAACGATAAAATAATACGAGTCTCGTTTATGATCGTTCGTATCACTCGAAACAAATTCAAGAAAAAGGGAATTCCCCTCCTGTGAAATGTGGGATGAAACGAATATATATATATATATATATGTGTGTGTGTAGGTGGTTAGAAGAATAAAAAAAAGAGGATATATAATAAAATATAGGATCTAACCGAAAGTAAACGATGATGGCTGGCGACTTTTGGACACTTCACCAATGAAGTTGTTGTTTAATTTCGTTTTTCTTTTTTTTTTTTTTTAATTCTGAAAGAAACAACAAAAAAGAAAGAACTAGTATATCGATGTAATATGTCGTAATGTTGTAAAGTAAGTAAGTAAGGAAAGTAAGCTAGCTTCCCGTAACCGAAAGCTAAGGCAACTCACCTCGTACTCTCCTGCGGGCTGAGCTATTTCCAGCATCGATCCGTTTTGCGGAGAAGAAACATGCGCGTAAAAGGGATACTATGCGCATGTCGTGCGCGCGTGCCTAACTCCGCACACTATGATCATGTTGGTCGACTTCACCTTCGTTAGTTGTTACCCTTACCCACCACCCCTTTTCGATATCCACCATTTTCTTTTTTTTTCTTCTTCTTCTTCTTCTTTTACCCTTCGTTCCTGTTTTTTTTTTATTCTTCTTCCTAGCCCTTCTGATGGGGATAAAAAGATATGAAGAGAGAGAGAGAGAGAGAAAGAGAGAGAAAGATATATACTTGTGGGGGTTAAATTCAGTCGTCTCTTGTAGGGCACAAGGACACTCCAAAACTGAGATCAGGTTAAAGGTTTCAATTATTTTGATAGGAAATATATTAATCGTTCGAAAGGGTTCTTTTGTGATCATTCAATTTATTTTTATTATTATTGTTAACCGGGTATCTCGTTTAAATAATATGGGGAATTTATTATTATTATTATTATTTTTATTGGTTTTTACTTAGGTTTTATTAGGGTCAAATTTGGATGCAATTGTGAGTTAAATGAACTCACAGAAATATTTAGGGATGTTATCTTTGTTTTCTTTTTAGGTTAATGTATTAAAAACAGATTAAATTAAATTATTATTTATTTGTATGAAAAAATAAAGATTTTTTTTGTTATTAATGTATATTACATGATGAATATATATTACAAAATGCAACCCGTTGCATTGATTTATGTACCTATGATAAAAAAGTTGAAATCATTGCAACCCATTTTGGTTGACATTTTTGCCACGGTATAGCGCTGTACGTTCATATTTTATTTTCATCGATAATTTATCATTTGATGGTAAAACATAGAAATTTCTCTAGAATTATTTCCATGAAATTCTAGTGTAAATTATTGACAAATAAATTTGCTTTGGTGAAAAGTATTCACCAATCAGAAGATTTTAGTGACGATGAATTATATATATATAAATACTAAGATTTTATTCACATCAATTAAATAAGTAAAGATATTATTTATTTATATATATATGGAACATTGGTTTTCCTTTATGTAATATTTACAACGTTTTGATTTTCAATAAAAAATAAGATCCTGTGTGTGTTTTTTTTACTAGACTACATACGTACATGCCTTAATGGTACAAAACCGCGCATCCATATTGCACATTTGAAAAAAGGCGGGCTTACTTTGAAATTCTCAATATTAAAAAATTTATTTAGGTGTGGTAAAAAATATTATATACATATATGAAATTATTATCTTCTCGAATAGGAAAATGATCGAGTACCTTATTGTTGAATATTTTTAGATCCCAATCGTATTGTAATATTTTCCTTCACTTCTTTTTTCAATAACCTAAAAGAATATCGTGTTCCAGATACCGTTTTATCGTGTCTTAGAATTGTATTTGAAAAAAAAAAGAAGGAAAAGAAATAAAAAAAAAAAAAAATCCTATTACAAACGATACAACTAAGAATTTCTTTTGTCCGTATCTTAATCTTTCCTCATTCTCCGTTTCTCCTTAGCATCATCCTTTCTCTCCGCCCACATTTTTTCCTACCATTCCTCTCTAGAGATTCTTACAAGCATTATGACGGTGACTAATGCGCTTGGTGCTTTCTTTGTCACGTTAAACGTTAACAACACGGTTTCTGTTTTACTTGTTATGATTAAACGCACACACGTGATCATATTATTTTCCCAACTATTCTTAGCTTATCCATTAAACCGTCATCATTTTTTATTCCAACGATTTTCCTCAACTAAATAACAATAAACAAAGGATTCATCAGGTATCCATAGTTAACTCTAATTACATGGACAATAATAAATAATAAATTATATTGTAAAAATGATAGACCACCTGGATTAATGTTAATAATCGAAGGATACAGGTTATTCCCGCGCAAGAAATAAGCGCAAGCGGAATCAGGGTAGTGACTAACTCCATGTAACATCCTCCATATCGATCACATAGAAGACCATTCTATCTCGTTCTCTCTTCCCGTCGATATCTCCTTCCATATTAAAGAGAACGCCTGCGTCTGCGTAACCTACATACGTTCATGTATAATTTTTAGCAAGAACGTCATTATCATCATCATCTGCATCATCATCATCATCATCATCATCATCATCATCATCATCGTCAACAACAACACGATGAGGATCATCATTATCAATCATCGGGAATAATCTATAGTGACACGATTGGTCCTTTTTATCATTTTAGGACCCATTTTATCTGTTTCCTAAAAAAATCTCCTGATATATAAAAATATATACACGTAAAGTGTGTCTATGGTGTTGAAACACATGAAAACAGGTTACTACTGATTCGTTCGAGTTTAGTGTACTATCGGCATAGTTCCAGATGAATAACCTTATTCCCATGATCTACATCCATATAATGAAAGGAAGATTCAAAGTATGCAAGAAAGAGAGAGAGAGAGAGAGAGTTATGGTTTTAGATAAAGTGACGTAGATATGAGAAAATATTCGACAAACTCGTACTATAATTTAGAATCCAATGTCCGTTAAGTTAGGAGTGTGTTCACTGACGTGTAACTCGTGTTAAAAGGGAAGATGAGAGAGAGAGAGAGAGAATCATCAAAGTCGTTGGTTAACGTCATGGGTTTTGGTATGGGGAGTTGTCGGGGGTTGGAATAAAATGAAGGTGGCGGCGCTGAACTAACCTGCCAGAGCATAAAATTCTAAGCCAGGCGTTGGATCTCGTTGGTAAGACGCCGTTGGCGTCGTGAACGGACAACACTGGTGGCGCTGTTACCGTCACAACCACCATCAACCCCACTACTATCATCAACCCCACCATCACTACTATCAACCCCACTACTACCACCCTCATCGTTATCAGCCAACAGCAGCAGCAGCACCACCAGAGAAGCTGGATACTATCAGACCTAGAGCAGTGTCGGCACAGCTCTGGCTTCCTTGGTTTACGTGGATATCGCGCACGATTTCGCGCACGATGTCGTCGACGTCGTCGTCGTCGTCGTCGTATTCGCAGGACATAGAGTAAATGGAAGAACACGGAATAAGAACAAGAAGAAGAAGAAGATTATTATTATTATTTGTCCTAATCAATTTTTGAGTGTACGTGCCTCGGTGAAAAGGAAAAGAAAGAAAAATAATTTGTCGATAGAATACTAGCACCCAGTGTCGATTATTGTTACATGCTCACGACTATATATATATATATATATAATCTCTGATTATATATTTATTGTAATTTTGATTGAGAGAAGATATGTGTCAATCAAGGAACACAAACGATGATATCTATTTATCTATAATATCTGCAACATAATTATCTCGTCACGGTATTTTCTCATTCGTTGAAGAAATAATATTCCTATATAATAATATTAATAATAAAAAAAATAAAAAAATGGGACAATATATTTAAACGATATAAAACGAATCTCGATTGAATTAATTAAATCTCCTTTTTTTTTTATTTTTATTTAATAACAATAATAATAATAATTATCTTACGAATGTGACACATGTGGAGTTTGATGATACACGTATTATCATCGTTATAATTACATTTGAAATTTGAAATATTATTTTTAAATGACGATACATATATAAGGAACAAGTTTGTCTTCTTCATCATCATCATCATCATCATCATCATCAACACCATTAGTGATGGTGTTTTTCAGATTGACAGATGCACCGTATCAGAGTGAAGACGAGATGGCCGAGGTGGCACCGAGAACTACTACGTTATTATACTTCCTTCTGTCAAAGAGTTATTATCCTCGTGATCCTTCGATTGTCGTGACAATTTTTTACACTCTTTAAATATATATATATACATATACATATATATATATTTTTTTTTTGAGGATGATATTATCATAAGAATGTAGATCAGTTCGTGTTAAAGGCCTATCTTGGCCGAGTTTCCTTACACGATTTTTTCCCATACACACACACACATACACACACACACATATTTATAATTTACAATGATGTAAGCAAGTGTATAACACGCGTTTTACGATAAAAAAAAAAAGAAGAATCGTATAATAAGGTGAAAAAGGTGGTAAAAAAAAATTTTGAAAAATTTGTCAAAAGCCGCTCCCAAGAAGAAAAAAAAATCCTTACCACGAGAATATAGGCGCGATCCTTCCCTTTACTCGATCGTCCTACTTTTTTAACTCCTCCACCCCCGCCCCTTCTCTTCCCACCTTCACCCCTCTCTCTCTCTCTTTCTCTCTCTCTCTCATATTCTCACTCTCCCTCTCTTATCAAACAGTTCGTGCATCTCTTCTATGTGCATTTCGAATACACCATGTTCTCGGTGTCCCAGTGTTCGTCGCACCCTCCATTCGGTCAGATGATCGAACAAAAATAGAAAAAATAATAATTAAAAAAGTGTTCGAAATATTTCGGATTCGTTTTATTGATAATAAAAAAAAGTCCACCCCCTCAAAAAAAAAAAGTGTCTAGTCAAGTTTTTCATTATCGTGATAGAAGAAAAAAAAGATAAACAAAAAATAACAGAAGGGGTGAAGGGATATAAAGATTGTTTGAATTATTTAAATATTTGTCTGGATGTATGAGAATATACTCCAAAAAAAAAAAAAAGAAAGAAGGAAAAATGAGTGTGAAAATAATGAAAGTAACTATTACAACACGTGATAACGTGTGATTATTCCAGGTAAAGGGTTTATATCCCTATGCCGATGACACGCTCGTCGTATCTGAGCGTTGTGATAAGTGTTAGTGGATTAACGTGCATGTATGCAACCGGCATTTATTACGTAGTATGTTGTTCCTGGAAGTTGTCCAATAGTACACGAGGAGAAAGATAGCAACAGCGAAAATGGTTGATCTAGAGGGTTACATCATTATGTTGGCGAATAAGAACGGGGAGATGAAGTTGTACGGTAAGCAAATCGTCCATGTTCAAATTTATGTATATTTTACGAAAGTGTTAAGGGACGATCGGAAGGATTGGGAGTGGGGATGGGGAATGAGGATGATGGGGAATGGGGATGGGACTGATAGAGTATAGGGTAGTTAGGGGATATCCATTGCTCGTTAAACGTTTGAATATTTATCAGGGCTAAATGCTGATGGATCATCGTACCAATATTATGATTTTGTCGTATCAAAGCTTATCCGGAAATATACCTAGCATATATATATATATACGTATGACTATATCTAAATCATTGACCAATATCAACAGATTTTGTTTTATATATCAAGTATAATAAGATTGTTCTTTGAAAAAGGGTTTTGTTTTATATATATATATATATATATATATATTTTTTTTTTTTTTTGATAGGATAACACATAAATATAAGTAAAATATTATATTTAAGATATGTTATTATAAAATATTATATATTAAATATTTTTATATTAATTTTATATTAATTAAAATTTAATATAAAATATGATATTAAAGATAATTAAATAATATTATATAAGATAATTATTAAAGTAAAAGAATTGTACAAATAATCGAAGTTAAAGATAACCATGTTAATCTGTTCGAGAATGGTAGTAGTCGTGTTAACGAAGATAAAAGTGTTAACGTGTTTAATATTGTAAGATATCGTGTGATAAAGCGAGAGTAATCTTGGATTATTTTTGGAACCGTTCTTTATTTTATAATTAATGTTATGCATCGTTTGGTACTTCGATCGGTTATTAAACGATCTCAGCAAGTTCAATGACGATTTTTAATGACGTTCGTTCGAATAATACGATGTCCCACAAAAATCCATATATTTTTTTAAATTTATTTTATTAATTTTTATTATTTTTCTTTTTTTTTTGCTTAGATCATAATTTATTTTATTATTTTATTTTTGTTTTTGTATTTCTTAATGATAAATGTTAATCGTTTAACGTTTTAATACTCGTATTATTGTAAATGTTGTTGTTTTACGTTTCTAGGTTAATGTTTGATTTATTATCCTCGTGATTCATAATAGTATAACTATAACTAATGTAAACACAGACGTCAATGGGATCTCATTCTCTTACGATACGTCTCGGATCCGACAGGTTCTCGTGCGGAGAAATCGGATGGTTTGGAATTCGACGACGAAATTCTCCAAGTGAACGGCCGTACTCTACAAAATGCAACCTATGCGGAAGTCATTCAGTATATACATCAGGTAATTAATTATTAATTAATTTTCTCCACAATATGGGTTTATTTAATCTACAATTTATATCTTCCACTTTTGTTTACTATTGCAATTATAGATCAACGTATTTTATACACGTATATATGTATGTATATATATATCTAACGAGTTTGCAGGATTATTTGGAAAATCATTTGTTCAATTATCAATTAGTTTCATTTTAAATATAATCAATAGTTTCTCTCTCGTAACCTGATATTTATCAAATTTTCATACACGTTGAAACATATTTTAAGAATTATATTTATTTCGATTGAGATATTAATTTTATTCTCTCAAAAAGATATCATATTTGACATAACTGATGAAAATATTGTTATCAACAAAGATATAACACTAATTGTATTGTTGTTTCTTTTTTTTAATTATATTTTTCTGTGAGATTCATTTCGTTATCATTCATATTTTTATTTTTAAAGAAACTTCAAATGAAACGTTTCTTTGTAATCAAATTGATATCAATTTAAAATCTTGTTAATAAATTTATCGTGATGTGTAAGAAAATTTATACAAAGTTTTCACATTCATAATTATAATACGAATAATATCAAATCTACAATATGGTATACGGTAAATAATTTTGTAAATTATACTAGGAACACAATTATAAATTACAGAATTTCTAACGTTAAATTAATTATCCTTACAGTGCATCAAATCTCGCACGATATCTTTACGGTTACGTAGACGAAAGGAAAGCCGTATCGGTGAGTAATAATATTAATTAAAAATATTCATGTTTTAAACAAAAATATGATCATTATGATAAACAATCATTTATATCAATTATTCCTTAACCCTTTGAGTGCTGAATTACTTTTAACTAAAATGTTTTGTAGGAATGGAATAATTGATTATTAATAAGATTCTAATAATAAATTATATTTAATAATTATAGTTTATGTGTTTCTAAATATAATTTAATTAATTAATATAAATATTACAATATTTTATATTAATATTATATTTATTTTAATTATATATTATTATATTTATATTATATAATTATATTTAATATAATAATTATATAATTAATATTTATATATATATAAATATAATATTATATTAATTTATTTATATTAAAATAATATTTATATTTATATAAATTTTTACCAAACGTATATATGCGTCCACATAGCACTCTAAGGGTTAACAAAAAAAAAAAAAAGAATAAATTAATATTCGACTAAACATTTTTAATGTAAGAATATTAATTGAAAAATTCACGTATAAAACAAATATCATTACTGTAATAAAAAATCACTTATATCGAATATTCCTTAACAAAAACAAAAATAAAATAATTAATATTGCAACTCAACATTTTTAACATAAGAATAAAAATAATAATAAAAATAAAAAGGAAGAAATTTTATATTGTTAATTGGTTCAAGTTTGAATTAAAAGTGAAATAAATGAGATAAGTTGTTTACAACTTTACAAACAAAATGAGCAAACACTTAAAAGAAGAAATAACAATTAAATAAATAAATAAATAAATAAATAAATAAATAAATAAGAAAATGTTGTACTACGAGTAAGAAATAAATTTCACTTGTGTTTCGTGGAAAATACTCCTGTGAACGATGTAGAAGAAATCTTGAACGTTGAGAAGAAGAAGCTTGGTACTTTGAAAAAAAAAAAAAAGAAAAAAAAAGGGGGAAGTTGGCCGAGCAGAGTTCTCTCTACACACTTTGATTCTCTACCGAGAATAAGAGAGAATAGAAGAAGCGAGCAACGAATCGATAACTTCTCTCTCGAAGAGAGATGAACACAATAGTTCTCAGAGAATATATCACCTTTAAGATTTTACCAGCATCCTTCTCATTTTCTCATTCACTCTCTTCTTTATGTTTCCTCCTCTTCTTCTTATTTCTTCTATCATTTTATCTATCCAACTCATTCTCTCTCATTTTCTTCATATACCGTACTATATATAGATATATAAAAGTTGCATCTATTCAAAAAAAAAAGTTTACGAGAGTACTTTTCGAGATATTCCAAGGAACATTGAAATTTCTGAACCGTTGTACCGTTCGATAAAGATGACGGACATAATTTAATATATATAGTTGTTAGAATATTTGCTAGGATGAGAAGAAACCTTGTTCTAAGCCTAGTAGAAAATTTATTTCTATCCAAACGTTTTTACAAAGGATCTTGTACCGGAGATAACAGAAGATAGGAGTGCTAAATGTTTCTTCTTCTTCTTTGACATTTTTTTGTTCTTCTTTTCTCCTTGTGAACCCATATCTCTTCTTTAAAAATAAGGGTTCAAAGAAAAGTCCTATTTTTATTTTACTCTATCTATCTTTCTTTCTTTTTGTTATTCTTTATCTTTCTGTAAATACGTCATGTGCAATATTTTCAGAAAATCTAATCGAATATTGGAGTTCGAATGTTTGATCCGTTTTAAAATGAAATGTTCGATTCACCTGTTGTAAAATGTTTATGAAATTTATTTTTACAATGTTTATAGATACATTGAAATTAATAATTATAAATAAATATATTCATTGTGATTTTTTTATTACAATGGAATTATGATAATAAAAATTTATACGTGCTTTATTTATTTATTTTCTTGTTGTTGTTGTCGTGATGTGTTATAATATTGTAAATTTAAATTTGAGAAATAATAGGTAATTTATTTTGTATTTTTTTGATGATATTATAATAATACAAATCATTAACCATGAATGCATTAAAGATTAAATATATATATATATATATATATATATATATATATGTAGGTTCAACCTATTATATATATAAGCTGATTAACTTATTCGTTTCTAATAGCGATTATATTCGGTTACCTGTACAATTGCAATATAATTAGTCGCATTCTGTTATAACAAACGTTAATATTTGTTTCTGTCATAAATTCGAAATTATTGAATTTGTCGTTTTATCCATTATTCAGGTTTTCAAATTGATTATATTCAATTATATTATTAATATATTTCTAAAAATAATTATTACAATCATTAAATGTTTTGTATTAATAAAAATAAATTAAATGGTAAAATAATTATAAACGAAGTATGATAAAAAGAAAATAATTATTTTTATTTAAAATTTTATCTAAAATTTTATTTATTTAAAATTATATAAAAAAAATAAAAAATATTAAAAATTAATAAAATTGTTATTTAAATAATTTATTAAAATTATTAAAAATTTTTATTTAAAATATTTATACAAACATTCAAAAATTATTCTAATATAATAGTTTAAATATCTAACAGTTTTAAAACAAACCTGAAAAATATCGATTGAAAAAAGAACACCTGAACTGAAACAAAGAAAAACCCTTCTCTACACCTTAAAGAAAAAAAATAAAAAAAAAGAAAATGGATCAAAAGATAAACACAAACAGTACGGAATTTTCTTGTAACTACGTGTATGGGGGAGGGGTGTAAGAAGTAAAATAAAACGGCACGTTTAACGGGATGCACAGGTGACAGGTAAACTTGGATTGACTTTTCCATCTCTCTCTCTCTCTCTCTCTGCAAAATATTTCTACGAAATAGTAGAATACTTTTTTTAAACAAACAACATAAGGATACCAGAAACGACCAATCACAGCTATTTCTGCTACAAATTCAAAAAGCGTGAAAGAAGAAGAATAAGAATAAGAATAAGAAGAAGGTAGGAAGAAAGGAAGGAATATAAAAGGGAACGAAGAGTTCGTACAATTCCGTAAGGTCTCGTGCAATTCCGGCGTTCACCAGGTAAATGCCTCAGGTGGCTCGTCAACGAAGGCCTCCTCCTCCTCTTTTACCTCCTCGTGGAGTAGTGGAACCGTAGGTGTACTTGGAAGGGGTAAATACGTGGTAGTAGGGGTAGAGAACGGAATAAAAAGACAAGGATAGAAAATACTATATAGCAATGAAAGAGAGAAAGAGAAAGAGACAGAGATAAAAAGAGAATTTGGCGACCGGTGCCACGAAGTTTAGCGGACGCTAAAAGTTTCACGTTGAGTTCACCTTTACCATAGAATCAAAGAATTTTCCCCATAGTTATTGCATTGGATTTAACGTTCATTAGTGGTACACTAATTTTTATTATCATTTATTATTTTATTCGATACTCGTTTGTGAAAAGAAAGAGATCCTTCTCCTCCTCTTCCTCTTCCTCCTTCTCCTCCTCCTCCTCCTCCTCCTCCTCCTCCTCTTACTCCTTTTCCTCCTACTTCAGCACACTCGTCTCGTCGTTATGTTTCCTATCGTCATAGGTTAGCACTGTAAAAACTTTCAAGTCAGTCTACTCGCGTTTAGCGTGCCGTGTATAAGTGTAGTTATACACACGTACCAATGAAAATGATTTAACGTGATTTTTAACGCGAGTGTCGACAAAAAATAAGGATACACCTGGATGAAAAGGTATTACAGTGTATGTGTGTGCAATATTATAGGACAATGGTTGGATCCTTTTTTTAAAATCCTGTGTGCGTGTTTTGTTTGTTTGTTTGTTTTAAGTGTACGAAAAAGGGGAATATGTTTGTTAAGGTGATATGTTCGCCTACGCGTTTGTTTATGTGTGTTTGTGTGTATGTGTGTATGTGTGTGTGTTAAATATCGTGAGTACGTTGTTAAATTCGCGTATTAAATCGTTGTGTTATATTCTTTGATAGGGTTTTAACTTCGACATTGTTTGCTTGCTGCTGCCATCACGATTTTCCCCTACTCCTTATAGTTTATTCTCATTCTTTATCCTTGAATTTGCTATATATGTACATATGCGTTTTAAAATAACCACCACCACCACCACCACCACCACCATTATGATCTCAATATCGATGTAGTATAATACGCGGGTTGATATATTTATTATTATTATTTTTATTTTTATTATTATATTTGTCGTATATTTTCTATGGAAAATTGAACGTTAATTTTTGGTTGGTTTTGGGTTCTATTTCTTTTTTTTTTTTTTCATCTGTTTTTGGTCAGTCGTCTCGATGTCCTAAATGTCCTGGCAACGAATTTCGTTCGTTCCGACCGGACGAGAACGATTTCGCGTACGAACGCAATGGTGTCACTGCTTGATACGCGATAAACGTAACTCTTCGGTTATATATTTGTTCGTTTTTATTTTTTTTTTTTTTGGTTTTATGTTTGTTGGTCTCATTTATTATTATTCGTACGTTATTTGAAATTTTAGAAAAATAGAAAAATAATTTAATCGAGAAATGAACAATGTTTCATTCTATTTATGAAGATTAACTTTATTTTTTGCAATATATTTATAAACGATTATAATTTACAGGTTATGTCAATTTTTAGAAAAATAATTTAATTGAAAAATGATCAAAATTTAATTATCTTTGTAAAGAATACTTTTTTTTCATTTAATTCATAAGAAATCAATTGATTTTTGTGTGTAATATATTAATAGAAAATTATAATTCATAGGTTATGTCAAATTTTAGTAAAATAATTTAATCAAAAAATGAACAAAATTTAATTACATTTATAAGAAATACTTGTTTTTCTTGCAATATATTAATGAACGATTATTAATCATAGGTTATGTCAAATTTTAGAAAACTGCTTTAGTCAAAGTATAAACTAAATTTAATTACATTAGTAAAGAATAACCTTTTTGATTTAATGAATAAAACTATTTTTTAATAGACATATTCCTATTATAATTATTCCTAATTAATATATTCGAAAAATATTTTTATTTTCTACCAAAA